GTGTGTGTGTGTGTGTGTTTGTGTGTATGTATGTATGCATGTATGTATGTATGTGTGTGTGTGTGTATGTATGTATGTATGTATGTATATATGCATGCATGCATGTGTGTGTGTGTGTGTGTGTGTGTGTGTAAGAGCTACAGCAGACACAGTTACTGGTCAGGCAGTGACAAAAGTTACTCGTCAACACTGACAAAAGCGACATCTACTGATAGATGTATAACGTGCACCTGATTCATCTGTGTGTGTGTGTGTGTGTGTGTGTGTGTGTGTTTGTGTGTGTGTGCGTGCATGTGCGTGTGTGTGTGTGTGTGTGCATGTGAGTGTGCGTTCGTGCGTGGTGTGTAGTATGCCAGAGGAGTCAGCCGACTAAACTGAGACTCTGAGAGGATACAATTTGCACCCTAACCAGAGAAGGAGGCTCATATTGATACCCAACGTATTCTTGTATGCATGTATCTTGTCAATGTGTTTTATACTCGTTGTATGCTTTTGAAAGAAGGTGTCATATAAGCAACTCTTGCTTTTTGCCTCATACTCAATAAATATATGTGAATTAAAAAAAATTCTCAACGTATAACCTTAGCCCGTGGCAGCCAACGATTATGTAACATAGGCCAGCGTTCTCACGGCTCTTCTGAATAGAGGGTCAACGACCTGAGAGAATGAGTTGACTGATATACACGGTGCCATGTCATTTTGTGTTTATTAATAACATTCCAACTTTGTAACCACAAATAAACAGTAGCAAAAGGAACGGGACAGTCCAGAAATGATAGGTGAGTCGATGGATGAAATGTGGTATTTTTTTCGAGTACGAACACTTCGTACATTTCGTATTAATAACTCGTGCAAAGATAGTTGACACATACTGTATTTACGTAGAATGTGTATTTCCCTTTCACAGATGTATATATATATATATATATATACCACAGGATCAGTGTTGATTTTCCTACGTTAAGAGCTGACAGCACTTTGACTGGCCCATCATAGATAGGTACCAATCTCTTCATATCAAACTAGGTGCGGTATATACAGTATATCCTAGAGTACTTGTGCCAGAGTTAACAAGAGCATCAATGCATTACTCCGAAATATTGTTCAGAAGTTATTCTAGGATAATCTAAATGACTAGCCTAGGCAGCCTTAGATACGATTGAGAAAATGTCTTGACTAATACTCTACATAAACTTTGATAAAGGTAAATTCTGGGGTATCTACAAGAAGATGGATTCCTGTACATGCTACTTTTCTATCATTTGCTAATATTCTATCATTCGCTAATATTCTATCATTCGCTAATATTCTATCATTCGCTAATATTCTATCATTCGCTAATATTCTATCATTCGCTAATATTCTATCATGCGCTAATATTCTATCATTCGCTAATATTCTATCATTCGCTAATATTCTATCATTCGCTAATATTCTATCATTCGCTAATATTCTATCATTCGCTAATATTCTATCATTCGCTAATATTCTATCATTCGCTAATATTCTATCATTCGCTAATATTCTATCATTCGCTAATATTCTATCATTTGCTAATATTCTACTACTAGTATTAGGTAACATTCGGCAAGGGCTTCAGTATTCAGATTACAATCACATAAAGAAAGAACATTGATTCGGCCTATGGCCTATCTTTGCAAGAATTGTTGTACACTTTGTTGCACGAAACACTTGTCAGAGTCAGAGATAATACTACTTTTCAACAGAAGCCTAACACTAACACCATATCTATTTTGTACTTCAAGTTTTGTTTGTTGTTGGTCGGGAATTATCAATACAGCTGGGCATATTTTCCCCACTCTCCTTTGTGTAGGAAGTTATTCTGACAGGTAAAATGATTTATCATCTCTATATTTAGTTTAGAAAGGTTGATCAAGATGTGTTAAGAATTCCGAGCGTTTTCTTGTGGGAGTATGTGTGACCTCTTGACATCACTTAGCTACAGCAGACACGGTTACTGGTCAGGCAGTGACAGGCACCGACTGTTTCTAAAACACGCTGAATCGCCTCGCTCTGGCGGGTCTGGGTTTTGGAAGCTGATGGAAGATTGAGATTTCTGGCGCGCTGACGTTTCCTTCTTCTGACTCGCTGCTTTCCTTTCTCGTCTTGAAGCGACTCGGTAGCCTCCTTGAAGAATCAAAGACGTCCTGTTCTTCGTCAGATGACTCCGAGCCTCCCGTTTTCCGGGGAGCTTGGGCGCCCATCCCTTCGCTCTGTTCCTTAACGTTGTCTCTCAAGCCGTCCTCTTCCGACAGAGTCTTCATGGTGGAAGCAAAACCGTGGACAGGCAACCTCTGCCCAAACGACCGCCTCCTCTCTCTTGGCGCCCCTTGCGGGACAGGCGTCACCTCTTCGTCGGTGCTGCTTGAGCGGCGAGACATGGGGACATCCCAGGGGTGCACCTTCGCCTGTACCTGCTCCTGTTCAAACTCCTCGTCCTTCCCTTTGAGTGACTTGAGGACGCTCCCACCGATGCGACCGAAGCGCTTGCGAAACCGTCGGACGTCCTCTTTCCTCTTCCCTATCCACCGCATCGCGTCTAGCCTGCTGCCGTCCTCCACGGGCGAGGGGATGTCCTTGTTCTCGTGATAGCCGGAGTCTAGGTTGCTGGGGAGAGACATGCTGCGCCGTCGGGTCTTGGACCAGTCCAGGAACGCCCGCACGGAATCCTCAAGATCCGAGGAAGGCATATCATTATGCCTCGGCATAGTTCTGCGTCTTTTAAAAAGTTTGTCAAGCCTGGATTTCTTTTTCTTCTTTCTCGCTGTCTTCTCCGTGCCGTCCGAGTCGTAGTTGCTTCTTTGACTTCGTGCCTCGCCGTCTTCCTCTTTTTCTTCTTCTTCTTCTTCCTCAGAGAATGCCTCTTCTTTCGTTTCCACCAGCTCTCTCTCGTCGTTGCTGTCGCTCGAAGGTTCGTTTAGATCGTAGAAAGGGGTTCCTTCAAGCGGAATTTTCTTCTGTGTGCTTAAAGGATTCCGCTGTGTCGTCTGAATCTTCTCCTCGTCATCTATTGTTGCTGGTAAACTTCGTCTCGGCAGACTTCTGCTTCGAGTCAACGAGAACAACGAGAACCTTCTCGTCTTTGCCCTCCCTTCTCTGGCCTTGTCTTCCTGGTGGTCACCGCTCTTTAACGACGTCATCAGAGATCCCACTGAGAATCCTAACGCCGGAACGCTTAGCCTCCTGAACCTCGTTTGAGTTTGACGCATCATGCCGTGGTCTGGAGGGCTTTGGTCTTCATCTGTGTTGTCGATGGAGCTTTTCCTGCTGGGAAACGATACGATAGAGCTATTCCTGCTGGAATTATTCCTACTGGAAAAGGACAGCCGGCGGTCGGCAGGTTCCAGAGGGTGGCTGTCACTGCTGTCACATCCACTCTCATCAGACGCGTGAGACACCCCGGAGAGCTTCCGACCTATCTCATCCCGGTATTTCCGTCCGATGTCCATGATGGCTTCCATCATCCTAGCGGCTCCCGACGACTTTCTCCTCTCTCCGGAGAACTCTCCAGGGTCGGAGTCCGACTCGTCCAACAGCCAGGACGGCATGAAGCTCCTGCGCCTGAAGGTTTTCATCCGTTCCGCGGCGCTCGGGTCCCAGAACGACACCTTGCCGAGGAGCCTCTCCTCGTCCAGGGTTGGAGTCTGATGCCGGACGAACTCCACCTGTTTATATATAACCAATACAGTGTTCAGATAGGAAAATACATTAAAGAATGTTTCGATCTTAGAGACCACATGTTAGAGAATTGTTAAACCTTTGTTGTTACCGCAGATACATATACTCTGTACGTAAGACGACGTTATCCACACATGTATTTAGCTTTGTTAGATCTTTAGTTGTAGAAGACCATATACAAAAGTCCCTGTCCTTTAATGTTTTTTGTGTCAATAAAGAATCTTTCTATAATGAGTGAAAATGAGTATTGTATCGTCCCCTGTGTTGGTGGCGGTTGGTGATAAGTGGTGAAAGAAACGTGAGTGTGCCGTCACCAGCCGTGTGATTGCATGTTGGAATAGAAATATATACTTTCCTCACTTAACTCAAGTGAAAATGAGTATTGTCAGTTGAGGTAAGATTGTATATATAATTTCTATGTTATTGAGCCTTATGTTACTAGCAGGTGGCATTCATCCCAACCCGGATATATATATATAAAACTGCACCTGTTGCAGCAGCTGCTCGGGTACGTCCTGCGGCGCCTGTCCCGCCATGGCCTCCGTCAGGCGGTGGCACAGGTGGTGGTGGATCTGCACGATCTCCTTGTTACTCCCGCAGGTCAGCAGGTTCTGCCCCAGCTCGATCAGACCCTCGTGCTCGTCCGTGCGCCGCTTGCCGTGCTGCAGCTTCGCCTCCTGGATTTTTATCCACATCTCCATCGCGAAGTCGTCCACCTTCAGATATTGCAACAATATCCAAATTACGTCGATGAAGGTTAGACATCCAGGTAATACGATACGCCAAAAAGCAGTTACTCAAGCAACTGAATATGATTTTGGAAACGGTCAGACGTTTCAGCTAGTATCCACTAGCTTTCGTCAGTGACTGAGGGACTATTGATGGATATGCAGATAAAGCGAAGACAATTTTTTTGGAAGTCGAAAGTCAATAGTTTTTGCTTATAAACCTGCATTTCCCCTCTGGTCTCTCAGTCACTGACGAAAGCTAGTGGATACTAGCTGAAACTTCTAACCATTTCCAAAATCATATCCAGTTGCTTGAGCTTTTTGGAAAAGCCAAATTAAATTTAGTTACCAGGAGAAAGAGTTCATCCACTTTGGAACCAGCAGTTAAACTGTTAGCATTTGCATGCAAAATGTTCAGGGATTTAAAGGATTTACAGCTGTCTGGTCCCGGGTTGGGATGAATGTCACCTGCTAGTAACATAAGGATCAATAACATAGAAATTATCTCAGTTAACAGAATGATATCAAGGTAAAATATTGCTAGCGACTTGCGTTGGTACAGGACCAAAATACCACCAGAAAACTAGCCTGGTGTCCAGCCTTGTTAGCTTTTGTCCGCTCCCCGCCAACAAGAGCGGATCTTGGGAAGCGGACTAAAGCTAACAAGGCTGGACACCAGGCTACCAGAAAACATGCCAATAACTGCCCTATATTGCCCTATATCAATGGTCATAGTATGTTCACCTTGCCCAGCAACGCGCTCTCCTTCTCCCTCACCGCCTTGCTCAGAGACTCTATCACGTTCCTAGCCTCCTCCTGGATCTCCGCTCTCGCCTTCTGGACCGTGGCTTGCAGGTCGTCGTCCAGTTTCCACCGACCTTCGCGGCACTTGCGGATGAGGTCCCGCGCCTCCGACCTGTAGGACTCGGCCTTTTCGGATAGACCTGAAGTGGTAGAAATCCTTTTTTCAGTACTAGTGTTCTGCAATATTGCAGAATGTCAAAATTTTGTTCTGCGATTCAGAAATACTTTCTGTAAATGTATTTAAATTTTAAGACCATGGCATATAGCCGGTATAACCGACCTTCGGCGTAACACACCAGCTTCGCAGGCACGTTACACCGACTTGTTACACCTAACCCATGAACATCTAACTCTAGACATTGTTTAAAGCTATCTAATGACTGTTATCTAATTATCTAAAGCTATCTAATGGTCCTACTGTACTTGGTAACAGCGAGTTCCACTCTGCGATACTTCTAGGAAAGAATGAATTCTTGAACACCTCAATCCTTGGTTGATAACTCTGGTACTTGAAGGCATGGCTAGGAAGGTGGGTACATGTATTTCTAACACTGACCTGTGATGTCGTGGTACATGTGCTCCAACTCGGTGCAGATGCCGCAGGCCATCTCACGGCAGTCCTCGCAGAAGGACAGCTCCGGTTCGCCGTGCTGAGGGCAGATGGAGTTCCTGCTGAGGTGCATCTCTATGAGATGCAGCGGGGAACACTCCTCGCACAGATACTCATCGCAACTTCGACACACCCTCGTGCAGGGCAACAGACACTGCGCAGGATCGCGGAAGGTTTTCGCCCTGTGGTGGCAGTGGTGCCTTCGAATTATCAGATCAAAATCGCAAACCGAAATAGCGGTACAGGTCTGCGAAAGCCGCGAAAGAAACGACGCTGCGCGGTGATACAGCGCGTCCAACCCGATTTTTGGTACGCGGGTGATCGTTCCACACAGAGGGCAACTGAGCTGGTTCTCGGATCCAAGATGGCGGCTGATGCAGCGGAGGCAGAAGACGTGCCAGCAGTAGAGGATCCTGGGATTGTGCAGGCGACGGTAGCAGAGGCGGCAGAGGAGGAAGTTGAACTCCGCGGGCAGACTGTGGTCTATCATCGCGCTCCTCCTGCCATCCTCATCCCCGGAGGATCCATCTGTGAGAATTTTACAAAAAGCAAAAGAATCAGACATGGGGAAATTTTTTCTCACGTCCGATGTACGTTCTGCCTAGCCTGGGTGCTATCCTATTTGGCTCCCATACTCGCTCACTAACAACTAGTAGTTGTTTGGAAGCGAGTATGGGAGCCCCGGCATACAAATAGGATGGCACCCAGGCTACGTTCTGGCGACGTGCTGGTTATACCAGCTACAAAGATACATAACGTTAGTCCCCAAACATCATTGACCACTTGTGGGTACCCTACCTGTGTTTGTTTTGATTTTGTCCGCACGACACACATTCACCCGGCCCACTCCGCAGGTCAGCAATGTTTGGGCATTTTCGGGGGTCAAATAATTTGACTCACCTTTAACTTCAAATTTGACCCGATTCGTATAGAAATTTAAGGTAGTCGAAGATTAAATCAGGCCGAACTGCTCCAGAACTTAAGCCGACCATGTTTGGTTGATGGTCGGGAAGAAGTTTCCGAATGTGTGTCAGGGGCCTGACCCGGGACCAGTACTTGACACCCTTCCTTTTATTCTTTGATTTTCCCATACGACCACACTTGTAGAAGCTAGTCCGCACGATTGCACAAGACGAAATGTGTGGCGGAACACGATTTTCTAAAAAGGGTGCAGGGGTACAGATGTTTACCTATAAATAAAGCCTTCGTTTTCTTTCCTCTGGTAGACCGGGCACAGTCAATGCCTTTCGTTTTGTAAACACTGCCCACAGAAAGGGATGAGACAGTCATTACTGCGATTCTTTGTTTTTAATTCCATAGTAACGTTTAAAAATAGATGATCTTTCAGGTGTAACACCAACCCCCATGATTATACCGAATATACCAAGACAGTCATAATGAAAAAAAAGATGAACAAAACTGATGCAGCATCATTAAACCCAGAGGTATGCACGAAGATACACAGGTGTTCAATACATTCTTGAGAAGGACTCAATAACTCCTTAAAATGCGGCGGTCTTAGGGTACACAGACTAATCATGAGACCTTACACATTGTCTTGTATGGGAGACGCATTTTTCTCAGATATATAATTTAACCTCCCTCTCTGTTGACATGAGAAGTTCTAACCTCAGTGGTCCCTTTCATATGATCTTGGTATGTGTTTTAAAAGTTTATTTTACTAACGAACAGACAACACGTATTTCTAAAATTAACACACATCTTTACATTTCTCATCAAGCACAACGTCCATGCGCATACTATCAGAACTGGACAATATTCAACAGAAGCACAACGATGTGAATGCAACGATATGCTTACACCTTACGGGTTATGAGCAGTGCATGTATGTAATCTCCAAGCAGATGTTTCAGTGGCTGCGAAATACAGTATCAAATTGGCCAGGCAGTATCCATTAGCCAGACTGTATACATTGTTGGGTGGCAAATGGATACAGTCTGGCCACTGTATACTGCTTGGCCAATTTGATACTGTATCTTGTAGCCACCGAAGCATCTGCTTGGAGATTACATACATGTAGTAACTAGTGGCTGCCGTACCTTTCGTCGAATTGTCCGAAGAGACAGCGCCCAGCGTCGCCATTTCCATGCCCCATTCGCTGGACCGGGATCCACTGCCCCCAGTCATTTGCAGGACTCGTTGCAGCATCTTTTCTCGTCTCCTTTTCCTGTCGCCTCTAAAGAAACTGATCTAGTTTTCAGAGCAATTCCCTGCCTTCCTGCGAAGGAGTGCCAATGGTGTGTGACACTGTAGTTATGGGAACACTGACCTGTCCCATGTATGCAAATTAACATGCGACTTCGTTCATTCATGGGTGTTGGGAGTGACACTTCATTGGTTCGACACAATGTCAAGGTTGGCAAACTTGGTGATTACGGGAGCATTGAACTTTCCCATTTATGCAAATTAGACATAAAAACAGGTTCCATTCATGAGTGTTGGAGGTGACATTCCATTGGTTGAACAAAGTATCAAGGTTGGCACTGAACAAGGTCTCTGACCGACTGCCACGTTAAAGTCACGTGTACTTGGTTAACCAACCAGAATTTCACTCATGTCGGTCTGTAGGTGTGCTTTCTACTATCCAAGCAGATGTTTCGGAGATTATGTTTTCGAGATATTCAGTGTTTGACTAGACTTGAGGAGGACCCTGTGTGTGTACTTGTGTGTACATGAGTGTACACGTGTGCGTGTGTGTGCCTGTATGTGTGTGTGTGTGTGTGTGTGTGTGTGTGTGTGTGTGTGTGTGTGTGCGCGCGAATGTTTCTATGTTCTGACGCGACTGAAGGACGCACACACGGCAAAGATCCACACAACACGCTTGTTTATGTAGAAAACTTCTCATCTATATTCAGTGCATTATAAACATAGAAAATCATTCCAAATCCAAAACCCAATCTTTCTTGCATATCAATTCTGAAGTTGAGTAACTGTAATATAATATAATATAAAGGGCTCAACTCCCTATTGTTCGTCTGCCCATGTCATGTATATGTCCACATGAACCGAGCACCAACAGACTCGTAGCCCAGCTACAAATTAACGTATTGTCAACTGATAACACATTACATACCACCGTCTCACACGTAAGTTAAGATTGAAAACGATGAACTATTATACAAAAATCGCAATATGGCAACATAACAAATACGATTATACATCAATATTTCCTTAGATGAAAAAATCGCTTCTACGAATCATATTTCATAATGATATCTTTTTCATCAGAGGTTTAACATGTCAAGTCATTAAACAAAACATCTCCCGGAAAATTCGGGTCCAGTTCTTCAAAAATTCGCTAGGTGGCGCAAGTAATCAGGCCGATCCATCTGTCCACTACGATACGCCTGTCATCATGCAAATTCTCAGCTTCCGTGTACTCTAGTATCCTCTAGTTCCTCCACACAAGCACATGCTTCTCAATGCAAGATCCCGCTATTTCTGAGTCTTGGGTTGAAAGTTGTAGCCTGGTATATAGACTATGCGCACTCCCTCTCAGAAAATTGAACAAATTATCTCTTTGAAACATTGCATTCCTTTTTTCTGTTACTGATTAGGGTAGACTGTCTTTACATCGGAATGACTTATATGTTGAGATCTTGTCGTAAGTCCGTGTCATGTCTAGGCTATATATTTAACCTTCCTTCGATATACAGTATTGCAACAAAAGTGATTTCAATCCTACACACAAGTCTCTTTCGTCACTCTTGGCTCTGAAATGCCTCTACTGTCTCTTTCCAGTTTATAGTAACATACCTACCGCAAAACATTTGCTTGATATAATTGTAACATTCTTCGTATTCCATCTCCTAGCCTTCCAGTCTATACATCCTTCGCTACACATTCATTGCTTTAATGTTCACCAACGCATTGCTCATTATATGACTTCAAAGTTCAAACGAACCCCGATTTGTATTGTATTCCCTACGCTATTTGCATTAGTAATCATTAATAGTTCTCTTTACATATGGTGCGTGCATCTAGCACGTTTGCCACCATATATTATTCACATCTAGTAGAAAATTACAGCTATTTTCCTGCGTTTCTCTCTCAGACTGTTATTTTTTTTTACAACACAGACAGGTTATGACAAGACTTCGCCTTCATTCTTGCCACCCGATCTTTCTTACTGCTGAGAAGTCTGTCCAAAAAGTCCATGAAGCGTTCGAAGTAGCTCTTCTCCCTCTCGGGCTCCCTGATTGGCTCCGTCCTCCTGGCCGACCTGATTCTATTCCGGAGCCGCCTCTGCTGATTGGCCAGTCGCCTTGCCTCGGTGCGCAGCCGCAGTTGTCTCACCGAACCCTCGAACAGCTCGTTGACGTTGTGGTTGAAGGTCGCAGAAGTTTCGATGAACTTGCAGTCAAGACCGACCGCGCACTCCACACCCTCTGAAAAGTAGGAAAATGCAATTTAGAAACCAGAAGAAGGCTTGTTGAACTCTTAGAGATTTTCTAATTTATGTACCATGCAATTATGTATTATGTATAATGTATCTGATAATTTTGGGATCAAATGTGCTGTGCACTTAAGCGAGGGGAATTGATGTGACATTATATTGAACCGAAAATCATCGATATACGATGTTAAGTCGAGATTCACTTTGCACTGATTAGAACAAAAAAGGCTTTGACAAGTCGTGTACATCAGTTTAAATCCTTTCTGTTTGTGATTATGTTTACCGGAGGAAAACATATTGTTTTTGCTTAGTTTCTTCTTCTTCTCCAAACAAATAAGGTCAATGACCTGAACCAGACGTCTGTCACCGTTGTAACTAGTGTTGGGTTACACCATGTTGCAATTTTATAGCAGGAGGGATTTAGACTCATGTCTGACTATATATATGAATGTGTTTGAGTAAGAATTAACAGAGCAGACCATATGCGAAGGCAAACATTTCAAATGTTACTTTTCGAGTACTAGGAATGAGTTACCTTCTGACGACACTTGTCGCCTCCGCTCGAGGTCGCTCTTGTTGGCGGCTATGATGATGGGCGTGTGCGCCGTCTTCTTGGCTCTCCTCAGCGACAGCGCCACGTCAGCCGCCCGACGGAAGCTCTCCCTGTCCGTGGACGAGTAGACGAGCACGTAGGCGTCCCCGGCATTCAGAAAACTCTCGTCGTCAGAATCGTACAGCTCCTGTACAGGCACAGTTGATGGAAAACATGATTTTTACGTCCGGGAGTGGTTTCATCAGGTTGGTAGAGTATAGGATATATTATGGATTTTCTTTTACAGAACCAAACTATTCCTACCTTGCTTACGTTTCGGTGTGTATCACTGAGACAACCACATTTGAAAGTAGTTATCACATTTGAAAGTACTAGTAGTTAGCACGGTTTTTGACTGGAATTGTTTTTTTTTGGAAAAAAAAATGAAATAAAGAGCCGAAGTTTCGGGTTGAGGGCACGTATTTTAGTACGTTTTTTCATTGGTGGAGCTGATGGTCATTCAGCACCAAGGACAGATCAACGTTCCATCTATGTGCGTTAGCTAAAAAACAAGTGGAACCACGAACTCGTTAACTCCCCGCAGGGCTGACAATTTTCTCTCACATTAGACCTGATTTCTGGAGCGAAAGAAAACACCTGCGTCTGGCCATTTGTCAGAATGGCGTAACGCTTACCATAGCTCCAGGCGTTAATGTTTATCATTAGCAAGCTGCTTTTCTAAGCCATTTATATTTAGTAGTTGTCTTTGCTGTATCTTTGTTTCCGTACTTAATTTCCAATTTTTAAATCAGCTTCATGATATCCATTAATATGTATTAGTTTTCGTTGCCAATCTTTTTTTCCTTTTCAATCATAACTATATTAATTGTTTCGGAAAGAGGAGGGCTATCTATAAGCTCTGCAACCTTCTTACCCCCTCCTGCAAATTGTTTGTTTGTTCTTTTATATAATTCTTTACTTATTCCATTGTACTGCAAATAATAAAAAATAACTATATATCAACAACAAACAACGTTTTGGAACGTACAGCCTCAAAATGCTGCATGTTCATAAAATGTGCATTATACACGTTCCTGACTCATGGAGAAATGTACACAGAAAATGACGGCTAGAGTCATGTAATGAATGTTCCGCGCTTAAGTGTTAAACTCTCGCTGGAAGTGCGGCGGGCGCATCCGACAATCATCTTGTCAATGGGTACATTAGGCTCAATCGGTCTCCGTCGCCCCGAAGCAATTCCACTCCGCATTGTCTAAAACGGGCGTTGGCGGAAGAGGAATTTTCCCGTCGAACACAGATCAAACAACCGTGTTTCAGGGGCTGGCTCCATTTGGAAACGGACGTTATGAATGTGTGAAGATCCGTGGATAGCCATATATTTATGGCAAACAATATTTTAAGTTTTTCAAAATGTTTTAGAGATTTGAGTTGCCTGACTTTTAATATGTCCGATGTGTGAAATATATGCCTCAATTTTCGACAACGCAACAGTGGAGTCAGTATGAAAATTGCCTTGGTCCAAAGAAATCCCATCCAAACCGTACCTCAGCATTGTCCGTTTTAATAGGCCATAGCAAATAAATTTTATGGATGACTCCAAATCTAATGCGATAGGGCGCAAAAAGGTAAAAGACAAAACAATAAATCAGAGTCTTGTCTCCTCTCTTCATATTTATCTGCCATTCACGTTGCGGCATGGCAACAGACATCTTTGTCCATTTTCGGCCCGTTGACCACTGTCAGAGGGCAACAAAAATTCTTGCTTTTTTTTCTTCTCCAAAATCAGGTGAAAATTAATGCGCGCGCTGATGTCATCAATAAATATTACTTGCTGTGGCCTTAGTTGGCCCTCAGAGATATGGAATATGACAGGTTTTCCAATCCGTAGCCATTTTTCGTGGCCCTCGTTGATTTTATTACGGTTACAGCACCCTAGATTATAACGGTTCACCCAAATGCCGGAAGGGTGTAACCCGAATATTGGCGTGGTAGTATTAATCTTATTTTCTTCAGGGAAGGAAAGAAATGAGGGCGAGGGAGCGACCCAAATGCTGTCTAGTGTAGGTTTTAGGATAGGGTTATACATGTATAAGTAACAGCAACGTGGGATGTCTACTTATCCTATACAAAAAAAAATCGCCAACGTTGGCGTTACCAAGGACATTGTCCTTGAACGTTACGCAGCATTTTGTCCTCTAGAGAAAACACCGACAGTTAGGTGACGAATCTACACTGATTCTCCAGACATTTGCTGACGTCACTTCCGCTTCCGGTGACTTTGTGAGCCTGTTTGGCGCCCGAACCTTCGGGACCTAGCCTCTACCAGGCACCGCGGATCGCTGGAAAAATGTAGAAATTGGCCGAA